CAAAATCCAGGCCAGTTTGTGTTTACGCTTGTCGCAATAGCAAATGTTTTTTGCTTATTGTCAAGTTTTTCGGGTTTGTCTCGTCGAATTTTACTATTATTTAATGGGGTAGTAGTCAAGAGGGGTACGGTAGGATTGTTGGGTACATTTACAGTAATCTTTATGTGAAAATTATTGTAGAGTTTTTTAAAATATTGTAGCTACTTTTAGTTGAGTTTATTATTTAGATTACTGTGACATAGGAGACCATAATATTTGTATTATATTAACCTTCTTTCATACTAATGTTTTGTTGCCAGCAAATACAGTAATTTTATCAACATTGCTTAGCACCACTTTCGATACACGTACTAAAGTTGCCTGGCCCTGTATACAGTATCAATGTCTGTCATCAATAACATGACACTTATCAAACATATAAAACTTTATAGACATGTTGACTTGTTTGTAACATGCCAAACGTCCTAGACACATCCAAACATCAATTAATGTTCGTCTCAAGTTGTTTTTTATGCGAACAAACGTTTGTTTTTCAAAATACATGGAATTCTACCCTAAAAACTTTCTACCCTTTCTCGTTTTTCTGTCTCTCCTTGGCTTCCTTGTTTTTATACGCGGAATTGAATGGCTATCTTTGTATGAAACATTATGATAAACATCTATATTATTGTTAATATTGTAATGGGTGTTATAAAAACATCTGCTGTAAATAGTTTTTTAATTGGGGGGGGAGGGAGGGGGGAGAGAAGAAATTATAGAGAATAGGTTAAGTAGGAGGGATGTAAAAGCATATTTTTCATTATTTTGTTTTATCACAACTTCTTAACTTCAAAACATCTGATCTACCCCATAAATCCTCAAGAATCCCCTCTTTTCACCCAAAACACTTCCAGACCAAAAGCGAAAAAAAGTGTTTTGCTACGTGAACTTGATGATCTTTGAGTTGCGTCTTCTCTTGTTTCCTATTTTTCGTCTGGCCGTGCCTTTCCGTTCCCCCAAATTGACACATTTTGTTTTAATCGTTTTGTCTACGACGTTTCTTTCTCTGATGTTTTGACTACATTATATTCTCCTTCTATCGTCATTTTGTCTACAACTTTTCCTTTTTCTAACGTTCTTTCATCGTGAATGTTTCTTCTTTTATCGTTCTTCTTGAAACTCTTTTTTCTCTGCTCGTCTCTTGTTTTTCTCGTACTATGTTTTGGCGAGCCGCATGATGACACTGACTGGTGGTTGAACTACTTTTTTGCCTTTGTTGTAATCAAAATGATTAACTGAATGCAAAAGTTGCGAAGGTTATTGTTTTGAATTTGAAGGTTGTTATGAGAAGGTTAATTTAATTTATTTGAAGTTTATTTTTAAATTGCTGTAGGGCTGGTTTTACGGTTGAAATGAATTGTAATTGTAGTGTACGTTTTTGCAAAAGTTTTTGTAGTTACGTGTACTTGTTTTTGTAGTTTTTAGTGTAATTGTAACAACGTAGAAACATTTTAGCTTTAATTACAGTGAGGATGAGACTGCATTTTATTTTTTAACATCAGGCTTTAAACTTAAGTTAGTCTTATTGAGTGAAACAGCCAGACAAAATATTCATACTGTAATGAATATTCATACAATTTTTTAAATTTTCTTTAATTTTTAACATTATTGCCACTTTGTATGACTTTTTATGCGCCCTCCGCGTTTCTTGTGCTCTTTCGTGCTCCATTTGCTGTTTTAGCAAAAACATTTGGAAAACGCGAAAATAAACGTTGTATACAAAAACAAATGCTTCAATTTCCTGTTTTCAGACAAAACGTCCGAGACACAGTATAAAACGAAGAGAGCGCAGACAAGAACAGTGTGGTGAATGTGCAGGACGTTGCCGACTGTTTGAAAATAGTATAAACGAGAGATCACTGCTTTTAATGAGACCACACCAATTGATAGAAGTTGGTCAGAGAAACGAGAGAAAAGTTGGTCAGAGAAATGAGAGAAAACGAAATACAGGAAGACGTACGCACAACACCGTCCGAAATAGAACACACCTGCAAAAACCGGCAGGCAGCGGAAGGAAAAGGCGAAAATAACGGTAGGCGGAGTCAGTGCCTCGAGGTGTTCGGCCGTTTGTTTTTTGGAAAAGAGTGGACTGGCGGGTCAAAGATTTTTCCCAAAAAAGTGGGCGTGGCTGTTGTTTTTGTTTTTCATTTGGGGGGGAGAGCGGTTAGTGGTAATAACAGTTATACTAAAACACAATCCAAAATTTTTCGCAGAGTTTTGTTGTTGAAGGAATTCTTTCTTTGTTTTTTGCAGTTAATTTTTTTCCGACTTTATTTACTCGGTCAACGCCGTCGGCGAACGGAGGGTACGGTAGGCGGTGCGGTACGTACAAGTTTGTTTGATATGTTGTTAATGAACCTTGGGAGTGTTGGTGGTGTAGAAATTTTGGTTTTTATCTAATTATAACTTTTTGAAGTTAAAATTTTTTGTTTTTTTATTGACTGGCTATGGGTGATCTAATTTTTTATATTCTCCCACCTCCAGCAAGTAACAACATTAATTTAAAGATGTAGGTGAAACAAGCTGCCAAATATTTTATCATAAGTGAGTGTTTTTTGTTATTGTAAGCAAATCCTCTTAACACATGAACAGTTTCTTAAAGATTTAGTGTATGTTTTTTGAATTTTACTGTACTTTTGCTAAATAACAATGCGTGGGCTTTATTTATTAAGGTTTTAAGGCGGTCGGAAAACTTAAACATGTCTTTTAATAAATTTTGATAAAAAATCTTATTACATATAACAGTAACTTTTTAACTCAGTCACTGTCTTATTAATTGTGGTTTACAGTATTTTCAATATTTTACTACTGTAACTCTAAAATACAGGCTCATTATTCAACCTTACAAACTCGGTTGTTTTCCGCGAACCGAACGTATTACTGCGGCCATTATGTCGAACATGTTAGCGCAATAACTTATCAATGTACCTGTTTTTGGGTTTACTGCGCGTCGAAATGCGCCGATTACAACGTAAAAATTGGTCCATTGTGTGCGTGAAACAAAGACAAAAGTTTCGGCCCAAGCGAAAGTTGCCCGATTTGCGGCAACTCGATTTTTTTTCTGTTTTTTACAGCGACACTCTCTTTCGTGATTACTTTATTTTGCGGCTAATGGAAACCGGGTTACTGGGTTGTTGTGTGTTATGTCATTCCGGGGCGGATTGATTACGGAGTTGTGGTGTGGTGTTACGATGTGCTGTGATACACGAGTTTGAAATTTGCATATTGCTTTGATTTTGTTTGGATAGTTTTATCTTTTGGTAGATTGGGGGGGGGGAGGGTGAATTTGGTGAATACCCTTCTTCTGCCCGGCTTTGTTTTCTTACAATTTATTTCAAAATTTATCGTATATTCTCTTAAACCTTTATCATACAATTCCTTTAAACACCTGTCCTATATTGTATTATAAATAATACTTTAGTCAAGTTGGAGATTAACCAAGGCCAGAGTTTGTTTCCTTTTCAATTCCATTTCCTTTTTAATTATATTCTAATCTGTTTCGACTGTTTTTGGGATTGTTTCTGAATGTTTTGTGTGAATGTTGTCGTACCAGGTGCCATCTTTATCTACAAAAACACTAGGGGGCGTGACGGTTTCTTGCAAAAACAAATTTGTTACAAAGTAATGAGTAAGCATTTATTGTTTTGTAGCGTGCTAGGTATTTTGTAACATTAATAAAGCATTTGGTGACATGATTTGTGCCTTTGGGTATTTTTGTGATTACTCGGTTTATTGTCATTATTACTGAGCTTATTGATACTATTACTGAGCTCATTGGTATTATTACTAGTATTGTTGTTGTTACTACTGGGCATTTGGTTTTGTAGCAGTTAGAGAATTTGTGGTTTTGGTAACAAATAATGGACATTTTGTTTAGCTCTGTATTTTTTAATTGAAGTTAATATTTTCAGACATTTTTTAAACTCTAAAGCTTCTATTTAACAGTTTTTAATTAAAGGCTTCTTTATGATGATTTATGTTTTGATGTTATAAGTGGGACGGGCTTGCTTTAATTTTTGAATTTTTTTTTTGGTTTTTTTAAATTTTATTTTAAAAAATTAAAAAAAAATTTATTTTTGTATCTAAACCTGCTATAACATTGTTATGGTGCATGTACAATTTAATCTCAGTACCCCCGAAACAGACCAGACATCACAATATGCCCTATGCTTTATAAATCTTGTACATATCTTCAACATGCTACGTGACATTGTCTGAAAAAAATCTTTTCCATCTGAAGACCTTAAAAAACAGCTCTAGACTTCCGACTTAACTTGTTTAATACATTTGAAAATTTAATTACATATGTCAAAAAGTCGAAATAACAAGCCGATTTCTGCGTAAAATACATTTTTAATAATCACTATGTCTACAATTTGTTTTGAAACTGTTACATTTGGGGATGAATAATATAAAAGTTTGGCAGACAGAACAACAGATTTAAGGAGTTTTTGGCATCTTAAGGAGAGTTTTAGTTTTTGAGATTTAAGATGCCTTAGGGTAACTTTTTTGGTTAATAATGATTTTTCTAAAGTACTTTAGGTTACTGCTCACCATTTTTAGTAATTTTTTGTAAATTTTGGTTTTTTCTCTATTTCTCTTTCACTCTCTCTCACATACTCTCTCCCTCTCTCTTTCTACGCTTTCTCCACGTTTTCTATCTTCTGTCTTCTCTACCATCTCTCCCTCTCTCTCTGTTCTACCTTTCATGTACGCATACAATTAATATTAAACATGACTAATGTCAAATACCGTAATCCGCGAACTTTTTCGTTTTTCGTGTATAACCCCGCCCCCTTTTCCGAATCCGCCTTAATAACTCTTGTTTTCAGCATAAATCTTTCAACATTGTGTGACACAACGTCTCCCCACGTGGACATTCCATTTTAGTGCCATTACACCGTCGCCTCCCACCCGATCTCAACTATAATTTGATCTGATTTTGGATAATTTCTAAAGCCATGACTTTGCCGCAATTTTTGTTCGGCCCCACCATGAATCATGCCACTTCTTTCTTGAACCTACCTCCGTACAAAGAGGGTGTTAGCTATACGAGTAAGATTTTTTATTTTTGTTTTAAAAACGACTTATATTTTGATTTTTACTTAAAAATCAATCAATTTTTTTGAAAAAACTTTTTAGATAACAAAAATATGTTAATTTTAACCTTCATGTTTAAGCTTCAAGATCAAACTTTGTATTATTGTGTTCTTTGTAACATTTCAAATTACTGTTCTTTGTTTTAAATTGATATTAATGATATGTTCCAGCTTAAAAATTACCTACATTAACATGTTTCAGGTGTAAAAGTTTAAAACATTGCAAAATATACAAACGTACCTAGGATTTTATATCCTGGTTGACTAATTGCAAATATCTTTCAGAGAACTTAGACATATAAACATTTAAAATTTAAAGTTTAAAATGAAAAAAGCCGTACTGAAAAACCTTATCGTACTGAAAAAACCTTATCGTATTGACAAATCTTATTGTACTATATTATAAAGTGATACTATAAAATCACATTAAACCTCAAAAAACTACGCTTAAAAACCTTATCGTACTCAAAAGCCACCTAAAAAATTATTTTACAAAACATTTCAGATCACCTATAGTATCCGCAGGCCCCTTTTCTAAATTCCGCTTTTTTCAGAACGTGTGCCAAATTGCCAGAAATGCGGTCAACACGGGCGGAAGTCGCGTCTGAAGGGCCATAAGCGCGTGTGCCCATTCAAGGACTGCAACTGTCCCAAATGCCAAGTGGTCAGCGAACGCCAAAAGCTAATGGCCGACCAAATCAAGATCCGTCGCCGTCAACGCAAAGATACCATCATGAATTTGACCAGAGAGAAGATCACGGCCACATTGAACGCCGCCGCGGCAGTAGCGGCCGTTCCAGTTCCCGGCTTCCCGCAATTGAGTGCTTTGTGTAAGTTTTTTTGAGTTTTTGTGGGTCTTACCGGTCGATATTTTAGAAAATTACCGGTCGATATTTTAGATGAAACCTTGATAAGATGTTTTACGAAATTTATAGTTATCAAATTTTTTAAAACTGCCAAAAGTTTCAAGCAAAAATCTTTTAAGATTCCAAAAACGTATGTTAATTACCATGACATTTGGGAAGTGTTTATCTCCCCTCCCTTTCGTTAGGACTTGTTTTTTCAACGTAAAGTGCGTATAAAGTGCACGTTTCGATTATTTGGAAACATTTGAGCCATAATAAATTTGTTTACTGTCTGGCCCACTTCCGCGCCTTTTTTCTAATTACCTCAGGGCTTTAAATTAGAGATCGTGTTTAAAGTTTTATATGATTACACGCTTGTGACGTGTTGAATTACATTAGACACTGTTGTTACATCGTTCAAACACGTATTTCCTTTATGTAGTACGTATTAGAAAAGTTTTTGTCTGACATTGGGGTAAGTGTAGGTTGAAGAACGGTTCACATTCATACTTTTAAACAATTATATTTAATTAAATAGAGGTAAAAGGTTTACAATACACCTTCACGTGTAAGTCATATACCTTAATATGTCAGCTCCCACAGACGTATGCACTTGCCGTGTTTTTGTATGGATTAAGAGTGTAACAAGTCTGTTTCTTGTTTTTAAGCTAATAGTGCAAATGTTAAAGATTAGGCTGTCGAAAAGTTCTTTATTATTGTCTGTGCATTAAGTGGGGGTGTGTGTCTCATATAAAAACAACTAAATTTACTAGCTCATGAAGTTTGAATCTTAAGGGTACAAACAAAAAAATGGCAATAAAAACAAAAATTACTGTAAGATATATAATTAAACATAATTCAAAATTAATACAGACACATATATTAACTAAAACTTTTTTCAGACTCCGCTGCAGCTACCGGAAATGTAAACCCAGCCGCCTTCACCCGCCCACCCATGCCCAACCCTTTGGGTCCACTAGGTATGCCCGGACTAAATATGGCCGCTCTCACCCAAGCCGGCCTCGACAACCGCAGTTCCCCATTGAGCATGAACAGCCTAGCTACCATCTCTTCATCACCTCAAACATCTACTATAATGTCGCCGCCTTCAACTCTAGGAATGACGATTCCTTCACATGCATCTAGTCCAGTTCTTTCCTCAACTTCCTCGGCCGACTTGACTCCACCACAATCGGCCGGTCTTTCTGCACCTGTAGCCATCAACTCACTCATGAATCCGGCTTCATCTAACCCCGGGTTGCTGGACAACCAGCAATTGTTGCAACTTTTGTTGTTGTGTCAACAAACCCCACAACAATCGGCCGGCTTAGGCCACAATAGCATGGCCCAGACCACGTTAAATCAGCCAATGGTTTCGAATCCCACTTCACCCACTGGAAACATGGACATGAGCGAACAGTTGCAACAATTGTTGGCTTTGGCTGCCATGAATCAACAGACAGTCCAACAACTTAGCCCACCTCCAGAAGACATGAAGAAGTTCATTGACAACATTGACTCGGGGTCAGAGAAGCATTCTTCATCGGAAGGTGGTGACGATGAAGAAGGCAATGATGACGTCGATGTTGTCTAATTTTGGTACGAAGTGCACTGTAGTAGGACATAAAAATGGATATCGTTATCAATCTACAGTACTATCGCTACAGAACTAAACAGATTACTACAGTACAATTGACTACGTCATCAAACTTGTGCTAAATAGTACCAAAGAGTATATTCAACACCCACCTGTACCAAATACCGTCATCCCGTGGACTGCTTTAACCATTGAACTCACGTTACAGTAATCTATTCGGTGTAAAACCTGTAATTTTATATTTTCAACGTCTTTCACATCAACATATTACGGTAATTGTCTTATTTGCATATATTATAGAGGTACTGTGGTCGTTGCAGTATCTTGTACTGTAAAACATACAGTACTCTAACAGGCAAATATACAAGTTGCTGTAGTAGTTGATGCACACATAACACATAAATATTGTAAAATGTAGCTAGTTTAACATACCAATGATCTTTTGCTATATTATTGTAGTAACACATAATATATTTTGTACTGAAAACTTATTACCAGCTGGTTGTTTAATAGAGCCCAATGCCTGAAATGAGTCCCAATCAAACATTTTGTAATTGTCCCAAAGTTGTAACTTTACTATTAAACTCATAATTCGTTTTTAAATCATATTTATCTTGTTTAAAATACTGTGCGATTACTGTACATACAGTATGACCGCAATATTTTGTAACTAATTTTTATATATCGTAACTTATAGTAAAGTGTTTAGCTCTTACTACTCGTAATATTGTAACTTTCAATACTCGTGCAATCTTGTACATTACCATATATACGAAACCAATCTACCTTATGCTGTACAACCGTTTCTCTACCTTCATTTCCCCTACCCCTCCCATTTTTTTGTTTTTACCGCCCCCAACACGTCTCCAATTGAACCCTTGGGCTCTACCTCGGTTAATATTTTTCTATAATATTTTATTGATTGTCGACTCATCTCATATCTATATATTACCTTAATAGTACCATTTATATATATTAATTCTTGTGATTACTTGAGTCGCCTTATAGAAAACAGAAATAAACATTACAATCAAATCTGCGGTGGACTTTAAGGTTTTCAAGTAAATATTTAAAAAATGGCTGACGAAGACTTACGTAGACAACAATTTCATCAAGACCAGAAAGTAATTACTCTAAGGCTGAGCGGGTGAATTTAGTCTGAGGACCATACTTTAGCATCCGGCGTTGAGGGTAGTCCAAAGATCGGAAGATTGTTACCTAACATTGTAATAAGGTTAAAGATTGAACCTAAAACAATATAGACAATACCCACTTACCCACTAACTCTTAAACGCAGTAGGATTGGGTTAGGCTAAAGAAGGGCGATGGGGACTTCTCTCTTCATCATAAAACCATTTTGCAAAAAAAAATATTTTGGTTTTACCCCCCCCCACTTATTTTTAAAAAAAGTTGTCAATTTCTTTCTCCAGGCCAAAATCACCCACCAGCTACTGCAAAAAGTACCATTTTTTACATTTATTATTACTTCAGCTAAATACAACAAACTACAACTTTAAAATACTACTGTAAGATTACAAAATAACATATTGAAGTAATAAAAAACCCTTACAACACATTAAACACCAGCAACAGTCTAAGCGTATGTTTATTTTTAAATAATGCAAGTTTAAACTCAATTATGAGCATTTCATATTATTGTAACGTTATATACAAGTAAGAGATCATGGCACATGGTGTGGCATATATGAAAAAGTGCAATGTACAATATAAAATAAAATTGTCATAGACAACTTTTTGAAAACGTACAAAAGTTTTAAAGAAATTTAATGGATTGTAGTACAGTTTCAACACAACGGAATAGGGGGGGGATAAGAGTAGGAGGACTTAATAGAAATAAAAATTTAAAGACAACAGAATATGAAAATGAAATGTAGTATTTGTAACATAAAGAATGTGAACAATAAATTAAGTTTCTTGGACGGGTATTTACAAACAATGTCTGTATAGGATAATATGATGTTGCAGTAGTATAAAAATAAATTATGGCTTTTTGAAGATAGTGTTGTTGGTACATACTTCAATTATGCTTAACATGACCAAACAATAAATTTGATGGTGATGTCATATGGGCTCAGAACGTTGGTTCAACCAAAACGTAAGGGCTAAAATTTTAAATTTATATTTTTTAAAAAAATTTTAAATTTATATTTTATTTTTATTTTCTATTTTCAAATTTAAAACCTTAATTTAGTAAAAACTGAAGTATTCTAGCCTACCCACGTGCCCATGAACACAATAAATCTTATTTATGGTAGTTTTTTATAAACGTAAGTCCGTTTACCATACTGTCTGTACTCAAAGTTAATTCCCGCAAACAGTATTTGACATTTCAATTTTCAATTACAGTAAGTTGGTGTTACTTGCTCACAAAAAATTTTTGTAACAACAATTTTGTCACAGAAAAACCAAAAACCCTTGACGATTTTTAGTGTCAAAAGCAATTTTTGTTGTAATGATCGTATACCACACATATCGCCAAGTTGGCAACAAACCGCAATAATTATAGCAAGTAAACATGTTTAAATAGGTATTCTTTATAGTTTTAAACTAAACTAACTGAATTGAAAAACTCCAAAACTATTTAAGTACATAACACTATGATACAGTAATCTTAATAAACCATTTTTAAGTTTTACAGTAATTATAGTAAACAATTCAGTAATGATAGTAAACGGCCTTAACAAAGTAAACTACTAACTACTATTAATAATGTTAAACTAACTAAATGCCTAAAGAAGAATTAGTAAACAAGATAGTAAAAAGTTCATTGAAACCAACTTACATCTGATTCATAATCGTCGTCATTTCCTTCTTTGTCTGCCCTTCGTATCCTCATGGCGCGAATGTTAAACAGATACGATTCACAACAAGTCACTAGGAGTAGTGCTGAAATTTTATTAATAATTATTTTCTTATACACAACACTCTTAATAATATATGTATGGGACTTTTAAAACTATTTCAAAAAATTTTACTTGGCCCAACAAAATTTTTAACTCTTACAGTAACTTTTAATCCTTCCTTATGCTCACAATAACTAACTTAATTAATTTCTACTTTCCCTTTTTCCTACAACAACCCTATTATCACTCTCGAATTCTTACAGTAACCCTCTTTTACCAGCAATTACAATTTTGAAAGAAAAGTGACGTGAAGTTGATCGTTCCCATCGTTTTGTAGCAACAATAGAATACTCATGAATTGCAAAAAAGCAAGAAAATGATCAAACAGATCGCCCGCTTTTTCGCATAAAATACGTATTTTTGCATTTTCAATGACTCGTTAATTTTTAAGGATAGAACACAAGAAAGCCTAGTCTGTCTAAAAAAAGTTTATGTAAGCTAGGCTTAGACGTGACTGTGCAATCAGGCTTTGAAATGTATTTACAGATAACGTAGTAACAAATGCGTCTGTAAAAAGCTGTGTGAGGCTAGCCAGATGTCTTTAACACCAAATAAAAACAGTTTACAATATGAATCATTATGCCCTTTTTTCCTAAATAGCCCTTATTCTTACTAGACATGGGGAACGAGCCGAGTTTACTTTTCAGGCCCGGCCCAGGCCGGCCCTAATTTTTTTATAAAACTCGCCGTGTTTTTCGGGCCAGCCGGATTTTTTCGGAATTTCCAGGCCCGGCCTAACCTAAAGTTTGCTCAGACTTGGCCCGGCCTGTTCCCCATATATAATTCTTATAAGTTAACAACACTTTGTACAACTTCCTTATCCGTCCTACTATTGTAAAAGCATTTACACCATAAAATCACAAAAGAAATTGTAATACTAAGCAATGGACATGAATATTTTTTAGAACACGCCCCACACTCACAATCAGGGCCAAACGGAGACTTCTTTGGTTCTCCACCCCCCCCTCCTCTAACGCCCGGCAGTGCTCACAATATAAAAAGCTTAAAAATTATACAATAATCGTGCCAAAGAATTGAAAATCACTGTCAGAAAATAAAGAATACGACTTACAAAGTAAGATCGTTAGAAGTAATCGCCATAATAATAGTTTGAACACCATTTTAGGTAGCGTTATTGTAGTGTAACTAAAATTAAATCAAAATAAAATTTTGAATAGCGTTTTAGAATATAAGTATTAGTACACTAGTTACTGCACAATTATGATTTACAGTAACTAAAAAACCACTTACTTTAAGTAAAGCACTAACTTGATTGTAATGTTTCTCTCGTGGTTGTAAAACGATTCCAAAAGCGGAATGCTTATAAAGAAACATTAGAGAATAATAAAAAAGTGGGCGGGGCCTGTTTGACTCGGCGAAGGTTTGGTAATTTGTGAATCACTTTTTACGGGCATGGTAATTCATAACACCCACAGCCCGAATTCATGCATTCGAATTAACGACGGTTTGGGCTAGTTTGAATAATTTTCAACGTCACTGTATTAAACATACGACATGGTTCGAAGAGAGAGTGTATTGATTGGAGAAAGGGTAAAGAAAAAAATGATATAGATGATGAAATGAATGAAGAAAATTAAAATCATTGAAATAGGTTGACAATAAAAGCGGAATAAAAAAAAATGATAATAAGGAAGTTGAATACAGTACTTTGTCAGCAACTCCAGGCGAGCTGTTGTTATCAACGAGGAGAAAGTGTGAAGGCGTCATACTGGTTTTTAACAGTAAACTACTAGGCAGAGGCGGCTAGTTTCGTCTTGTTTCTAAAAAATCTCATCCCCCCCCACCCTCTCTAGAATCCAACCCCCCCCCCTTCTTTCTTTGTCACTTCAACCCCTCCCCCCCTTCATAACCCTAATGTTTCATCACAATTTAAAACCTGTTAATTTCAAAAACCGTAAAAATTTTCATAACTACAGTAAATTTTCAAATATAATTTAACACGAGGAATTTTACGAAAGCTACGACACTTAATGGCGCATCAAAGACTCAGCACATAAAAACATCACATGACGATATCTGAAACATACATAGTTATACGGTGATTTATTGCCTCAGGGTTTTACGATATAAACAAAGTAAAAGTGCACGCGGGTTATGGATAGAAACTGTAGTATAATTAGTGGGTTTCAGACGAAAAATGAAATTTCAGTGTAATTCCACGCGGTTTTTCAAATTTTTAAAATTATTTGTATTTTAACTATTACTCATCGCCAGGGCTGGAATAGTTATTATAGAATGATAAAAGAAAGAGTAGAGGGTAAAATTATACAAAATAAGTTTTAAAATTACAGAGTAAACCCAGTTCAACTTTCTTCAAAAAAAAATCATGTGAAAAAGTTACCCCCTCCCCTCCCTCTCACCAAGCTTTAATTACCACAGTACTAAACATTTTCCACTGCGTAGGAGAGTATTTAGAATAGTAAAAAAATCCCAGACATTTCAAAATTGTTTCGAAGCTATTTTTACATTCCTATTTGGAGCCATGCCATTCATCATTAAACCAACCCCCTTAAATTGATCAGTCGTTTTAATTAAAGTTTTTTATAAAAACTGTATTACGAGTAGTTTAACTCTTCCTCATTCGATAATTACGTAGTAAAAATTGGCGTAGCATTATATCAATATAAATTATATTTTTAAAAGCATTATTACCTAAAATTTTAATCTTTAAGTAAGAATGGAAAGGTCAGAAGTCAACATGTAGACAAAATGTAATATTTTGCCAGATTTTTCTTATTTGTCTTGTAAAAAGATTAATGGATTTTATAATCAGACGTTTGTAGCCAAGCGTTAGCAAGATGATGAAGATGGAAGTGTTGCAACCCGAGAAATTCTCACCCTACCCTACCCTACCCTACCCTACCCTACCCTACCCTACGTTACCGTACCCTACCCTACCCTACCCTACCCTACCCTACCCTACCCTACCCTACCCTACCCTACCCTACCCTACCCTACCCTACCCTACCCTACCCTACCCTACCCTACCCTACCCTACCCTACCCTACCCTTTTCAAACAAACAACAATATTAACACTGCCACGCCTTAGTATTGTGTATTTTTCCAAGTTATATGCAGCTTAACACAATAGATCCAGTTTATCTTATTCATACCAACACAAAGTTCATTTATCGCTGGCGTCGACCTTCACAAAAGTTTTTATTCAGATTTTTATGCTCTTTTATTTCGTATTTATACGAACAAATCTTGCTTGAAAAGTTTATTTTGGCTGAAATGAAGCTTTTGGTTTTTACTTTGATTGTAAAAGTTGTTGGTTACTGTAAGTTTTTATCTTTTGGGTACAACATTTTTACACATATTCCTCTCTTTCCCTTCTTCCTCAACTTATATTAATAATTGAAACCAAAAAATTCAAATTTTTATTAGGTCCATTAACCATTAAACTCCCAAAAATGTCAAAATGTGATAAAAACGTTTAAAAACCATTTATAATCATTCCTTGGCCTTTTTATTACCTATCAAAAACTAAAACTTCGGAAGTAAATCAAGTATAAAAAAGTAATCAAATACAAATTTTAGACGCATTTACAATCCCCCTGCCGTTTGGCGGTATCAACATTGACAAGAATGCTCAAGGAGAAACTTCCGTAGATACTTTTTCAAATTTAAACTTTTTTGGTTATGGTGCTAACACTGGTTTTAAAGTGAAGGGCGGAGACAGTGGACTGACTCTTGAACGTAAGTTTGATATCGATTTTCTAAAGAATTTGTAAGTTTATACAAATTATAATGTTTTTAGTTAATTTATATTTTCTACAACAAAAAATTTTTAAAAAGTTTCAGCTAGAAATGAAATCTTAGTAAAAAACAAAAACTACGGTGTCAATTCTACATTCGGCTTTGAAAAAGAAAAAGGAATTGCTGTAGACAGTGACGTTAGTGCTGGTGACAACACTTTTCATGTAAGTTTAAATTTACTGTATCTATATACCTTTTGACTTTCGGCAAATATTATTTAAAAATCAACCCAAATTATTAAAAAAAATTATCTCCTTTATGCCTCTTCACCAGCGCTTCTCTAGTGATGTAAAAATTTTAAGTTATCTTACCGTTGTAAATTTCTAGATATTATTAATACTTCTATAAATAATTTATAAGTTTACAATTGATGTAAGCTTTTTATAGATAGTAAACAATTGGAATATTATAGTTTATCAAACGCATTTAGCATTTATTCAGGCACAGCTTGTGTCAGCCTTTTTTAAGCTTTTTACGCTTCAAAAAACCTCTAGCCTTTATTATTACTTCATCAATTATAATGAATATTTATTTACTTTGTCACCTACGCACGGTAGACACAGGCTGTTTTCAAAAATTTTAAAATTTTAGGGCTATACACGGCTGTGGATTTAAAAGTTCTTGAAAAATGAAAGCTTTTCATAATAAAAAATAACATTTAGTATTTTAGGGCGGTCTAGGCAAAGAGGGTCAATTTATCAACGAGATTGGTCAAGCTACACAACAACAAGCTGCTGAAAGAAAAGCATTGCCAGAATCTGTTGGAAAGCTCGGATAAACATAAAAATTGCAATTTTACTCAATTTTCGTATCTACAGTAAGCACACCGTAATAAAGAGCTTAAAAACACGATTTCTTAATAAATATATGCAAAAAGGCCTTAATCAACGCTACGCTAGAAAAAATCCGCGTCTTAAACAGGCTTACCTTTGATTTTAAGACTATTTAAAACGACTCCAAAGAACTTGCAGTTAAAATGCAAATGACATATTAATGTTGGCTGATTTTACAAAGATTTCATCTAAAATGATAGCAAATTTTGAAACATACATAATAAATTTACCGCCACTTTGCTTATCAATATGCATTCTATTGATAAGCAAAGTGGCGGTCTAACTAAAATTTAAAGGTTATATAGTAGTGTTTCTTACAGATTATATACTATTATCCCTAACGCTTAATACTCAACAAAAAAACTTTAAAAAAGGTTTAAAATTAAAATATTTATTGATACTCGGTATAATATTATTTTATTGATACAATCCAAGGCTAGTAAAAACAGTGTTAATTAAATTGGTGAGAGGACCTACAACATAATATTCATAACTGTATTCATATCCATAATCAAATCCGTCTTCTGGGCCGTAATCAGCTACAGATTCTCCATAATCAACACTTTCAGACCATTCTTCCCAATATGGAATGTAAAGTGAAGTTGTATCTAACAATTCGAAAAACTTTACCCTTTTATTTAATCAATAATCTTTTTCAAAATCAAGATATAATTATAATAATTAAAAAATGCTTTGTTTATATTATGCATCTAGGTTTAATAAAAAGAAATTTCTTACATTTTAAGACTGCTAAAAGCACCAATAAAAGATAATTTAACTTTGTACACATAGTAAAGTCAATACCCAAATGATTGTATTCGATCACAAGTTTATAGATTATTAAAGGAGAAATAGTAGTTCCTATCATTTAGCAGTTTTACAATGAAGGTTTAGAAGACTTGCATAAATTAGCAAATGTTTTTTGGTGGTCACGTAGTGGTACTATCATATCACTCACTGTATTAAAGATTGAGCAGTTCATTTATATCTATTTGGAAAAAGTACTCTATAAAGAATAGCAATAGCTAAAAATAAATTTTGAGTAAACTAGGCTGTCTTATAAACTTTGGGCCTAAAATTATGATGTTTAAACTTAAGATCAATAGGTATACTGAACAGTTATATAATACTGTTACTCCATTACGTAACACAGCAGATAAAACAGTATATTCTATTAAATGCTTAGGCTTACGCTAAGGCTAACCAATTTTTATAATGACGCTATATAGCGGCAAAGTTTGGGTTTATATACTCATATTATATGGCAGAGAAAAAAAATTCCGCACAGAAAATATAATAGCGCTCGTAGTAATTTTGATGGGTCGTTTTACATCGAGGCAAATATTATATAAAACAATTAATGTTACGATACATGACAAACTTAAGCTTAGGCTTAGGCTTCGTCTTAGGCTTAGGCTTCGTCTTAGGCTTAGACTTTGTCTTAGACTTTGTCTTAGGCTTAGGCTTAGGCTTAGGCTTAGGCTTAGGCTTAGCAAGCTTTATAATGACGGTATATAACGAAAAGAGTTTGGGTTTATATACTCATGTTATATGGCAGAGAAAAAAATTCCGCACAAAAAATGAAGTGAAGTAATAGCACTTGTAGTAATTTTGTTGGGTCGTTTTACATCGAGGAAAATATTATTGTAAAACAATTAATGTTACGTAAGAAACATTGCGCAACAACGTTTTTTGCATTTTCTCTTAGGCCATTTTATTATGTCATTAATGTTAAGCAACGCCATGTAAGTTTCGTGATTATCAAGCGTTATGTATGACCTTAAAACTGTTCACAGTGTATTTACTAAAAAAAATTTTAAAACTCGCAATATAAGTCATAAATAAATATAATAATGGATTATTACAAATATTCACAACGCTGTACACAGGATCCGTTTTGTAGTCACTTAATCAAGAGTGACACCAAAAATCGATGCAATGAAACGTTCGACATCTTCCAAAAACTTCTTGGTAAAGGAACTTTCGAGCAAGAAGTCTCCGACAGCCTCGGGATCTTCATCTCCTTCCCATGAACCCTCGTGACTGGTCGGTGGTGGTCGTAGAGTTGGTCGTGCTAACGTCAACATTATATCTAAATTTGTATATTTTTAAATTAACTATCTTTGACTCATTGTTTCTGATAAATGATATCGCAGTACATATTACTATTAAATTATTGTAAACACTTACGTGACCATAATAAGATGGATAGTATCAAAAGAATATTAGAACTATAAGACATGTTTTATGCGGTTTGGCTGTAGAGTTCCAACAAATCGGCCGATATATAATATTGGTAGTCGTTTGAAAGTTTTTCTTAATAAAATAGTATTCCAAGCCCAAATATAGTATCTGGCAACTTTTTGTGTTTGATATTTTAAGTCCAATTCAGGTTAACAGCCAAAATAGATTGACTTTACTATCAATTACAAAACAAGCCTTTGAACCAACTCTATCTACTCCATTTTATTCTTCTCGACATCCAGTGAATAACAGATTTGCATAAACTTAACCAACGTACTTGATGAAAAAAGAGTGTGAAAACACAGAAAAATAAATTGAACGGCTTGACTTGTTTACAATTTAAAACGTTGCTTTAACTTTAGGCTATTTATGGCTTGTTCTCAACCTTTCTAGAGTGTAAAAGAGTGTGGAGGCTTATGCATATGAAGAACATCTATGGTCAGATCATTGGTCTTTATTCTATACAATGAGGAAATAAATGAAGTGAAATGTCAATAAAGTGTGAATTTTTCTATTTTATAAAAAATCATGTTTTTTAAACTCCAAAACGCCAAAGGTTTTACCGCAAAATCCAGTAACTTTGGAGCGTTCTTTTTTAACAAAGCTGCCGTCAGATTATTGAAAGCAGAGATGGTAAACAGAGCATTCATTCTATGGTAAAACATTCATCGGAACATCTTCCACATCTTGCACCCTAATTTCTTTCTTGCTGACTTCTGTAGCCGGTCTCTTTTCTTCGCACCGTTTCTCCGCCGCTTTTCCTCTGCCCAACAATCTCTACGCCGGCTTTTTGACTTTTGTAGAGTTTATTTCAAATCTGGTGTGTGCGGCGCTTAAACTTTGGTTAACCAACCGTGTTTGTGTCCCGACAATCGTTTATTAATCAGACATAAACACGATGTGATTAGGGATATGGAAGGTTGCTAAGCAAACGTTTTTTGTCGTAATTAAAAAACACAATTAGTTTTTAAAAAATATATGACATTTAAGTACTAATAACAACAGTATACAAATTCAGTACTTTAAATACTCAGTTTGAAAAACTCGTAAAACAATTTTTTTCACAAGTCACAATGACTAACTTTGAAGTTTTTATGCTGTAATTTTGTGGCACAATAATGGTTCAAAGCTTCATTTAGTAATTTTGAGTTATACACAATCAAACGCTGTTTCAAATAAATTTAAAAAACTTTATTGACACTTTGTTCCTATTCTCTGTTTTGTCATTCCGTCTATACTCTTCTCTCTCCCAAATGAACAACCTTTCCGAGTAACAAACGGTGACCAATGCGGCTTATTTTCGACACCAAGAAAATTATTTGTCTTTACACACCACAAACAGACGAGATACATATATCTGCACCCCTATCGGCGTTGGCTCCTCCACTCCGCTCCAACAAGCCTTTATTCACTCCGAGAAAAACTTAAACGTCCGGTTTGCCCCCACCAATTTTTCGCTTCTTTATTTGTATCCTAAACTATAACGTTCTTCTCGTCACGAATAACCTTTTGCCTGCTTTTGCGTAGATTTCAACCCTCTTCTTTCTATTTTTCGACTTAAGCGACGCCGAGTTTGGGCTTAGGAAAAGCATGAGGCTAAAGACCGGCCCCAAAGTCTCCAGATGTAACTTTTAGTCTTTTTATTTAGGAATAGGGTTTCTCGCATTTTCTTCACCAACATTCTCAAAGGGTTTTTTGTTTTTGAGACTTGGGGATTTGTTTTTAATGTTTTTATAGTATCATAGCTTGGAGGTATAAAATTTGAAAACCCTTATTTATGATTATACAAAAACGGCCTGGTTTTTATTTTTATTTTGTACATAAAAATATAAAAATTTTTTAAATTTTTTTTCAAAAATATTGCCTTTCTTAATATGGTTAATTTCTTCTAGTACTTCAACGTTAACAACTATCAAGTACTTCATCATTGCCTAATTCTATAGTAATCCCGACGTCATTGTCACCATTTTTCAAAAATATCCAAAAATAACCGTCTAAAAACTTAATTGCAGAGTAAAAACTAAATTTCAATTTTATGACGCCAAGTTTTGTTTTCAAATTCACTGCTTCAAAATGCTCTCCATCTTTTTCGCGATATTACCGGCTCTTTAGCAGTTCGATTCTCGTATATCTCAGTTTTAATTTGTGTTTCTTTTTTCGGGGTTGACCCTTTACACAGGCCCTTTTCCCCTTCACTCCGTTCATTCTCTAATCCATTAGAGTTAATTGCGGAAAACAAGCACCGTGTCTCTCTTTACATTACTACTAAAACTATATTGTAAGCGGGAGTGATAGGGGGATGATATTGAAAATTGTGAAAAATGATAAAGCTCTTGGAAGACGGGAGGACGAAAAAGAATTATTTTTTAAATGATTTTTCTTGTGAACATCGACAGGACAACGATTTTTTAAAATTTTTGAGATATCGTTCCCTATCCACCTTCCCTAGAACCCTGTTTATGTATCTGTATTTTTTAAACTATATTGTTTTTACATAAAGTAGTCCAGAACAATTTTGCCATCTAACTCCACAACCCTAAAAAAGTGGTTTTTTGAAGTAATGTCATCAAAAGTAGTAGAAAACTTGCGATCGAGTCAACTTTTTTCCGCAATATTGAAGCTTGGATCTTTCACCAGCCGGCGCCCTCTGACGCCAGTTGAGTAGTTGGAGAAAATGTGGCCGCAGTCCTTTGTTTTTCCACGCAGGATTTTCTTTTTGCGAAAAAAAAATTATTTTGCAGTTTCGAACAATCCCCACACTACACATTATGTCCGTTCCCTTCTCGATACGTTTTTCATATATCTTTTTTCGGTCGCTAACAACCCCCAAAAAGCTCGACCTCGTCTTCTGCCCCACTGTCTTCTTGTTCCCCTCTTCTTCAACTTGAGTTTGTTATAGGGGGAAGCTTTAGTTTGGAAGAAGTGTTGTTCTTTAGGAGGAATTTTTTAATTTTACTTTTAAAAACTTACATTTTTGGAAGAAAATAGCAACTTAAAATTTTTTAAATCAAAGATTAAATTGTTAAAAATCTAAAAAAAAAAAATTCTCATTTCAAATTAGAAAAACAAGAAGAAAAAGATCATGTCCTCTTTTTTCACTATAACTTAATCGGTTTGACCCTTTGAAACATTCGAAACTAAAAAAATTTTTCCGATGACGCCGTTTTACAAATGCACTTCGAGGCCATTAGTCACAAGACTAAAATTGTGTCGAATCAAGCGGTTTTATCCATGAATATTGTTTTTCAGCCCCCTTTACTTGGTTTTCTTGGTTAGTTGCGTGTAGCTTGTTGTTTTATTTTTTGGCCTTCATTTTAAGGGGTAAGATTATGTTTTTTAAAAAAACGTTTGGAGGAGAGGTAATTTTCATTTTTTAACCGATTGGTCAATGTTTTCATGGAACGAGGCACTTTCATATTCACTCCCCCCCCCCTGTTTTCTCCGCCTGAATATCAGCACGATTACCTTAAATGCGACAAAATTCCGCGGAAATTCATTTTTCGAAAAAAGGTTTATCCTTAAATATTCTTCATTTTGTTCGGCCACACTCCACCAGTAATTCCGGTTTTTATTTTATTCTACAAAGGTGCGTCCAGCTTCTTTTCGATGTTTGTAAGGGGAGGGGGGGGTGGTCTTTTTGTTCGGTGGTTCAAAGCGCATTTTTAAAAAAGCCTTTTTGAAGGTTTAATTTTTAGTTGCGCAGCGTGGGTTTTTTTAAATGTAGTAGGGACATTACTTGTGGACCCCCCCCCCTTCAGATTTTTTAAAAAATGTAAGATGTGCCCTTCCTATTATAAAAAAAAATAAATAAGAGGATATCAGCCTTCGCCCTTCATGTATATAAGAATTTTTTGGTAGGCTCCCCCATCCCTCAACATCCTTCCAGTTGCTTTTTGGGCACTGACTACGCCTTACATGATGTTCTCCTTGTCCACCCCAAAGTAATACCACTTCTTACAAACTGAAAAATTGAAAATTCGTTTTTTATATTTAATTGGGTTTGACGGACGCAATTCGTGTTTGTTTTACACACACAAAACTGCAGTGTTTTTGACCGATAACAATCCGAACTCATTTTATCTCGAATGTTTATTTCTCTGACCGTCGAATCTCATTCGTTTTTTACAGTGTTTAGAGAGTGTTTTCCGTTTATATTGCGCCTTTTCGAAGGACTTACAATTGGTCTTGGAAGAGCTTGTGCGCAGGGTATAGGAGTTATATTATAGGTGGTGTTTGGAAATCTCACGGATAATTTTTAAGGTTAAGGTTTCTAATTTATTAAACATCTAAGGTTATCGTCAATATTTTAAGAATTCTGTGCTTTTCCAAACTAAAATAGACGAAACGTTATAGAACATTTCTTTATCTTAAGTATTCTATATCACATACTCTATTTTGGCTCTTTCTCTAACCAGATATCGCTTGTTCTCTAATATTGTTGACTCCTGCATTTTCAAACAACTTCTCTTTTTTTTAAATGGTGTGCCGACGAAATTATTGGGGGGGATTAAAAAATTCCAAGAGGCATTTTTTGCGGCTGGTTTTTATAACACCAACGTCATATGTCCTCTTTTCTTTTCACTAAAAATTTTCTTGCTGGTTAGGGCTGTTGTTAGAAGGTTTTTAGTAACAACAAGACGACGCGTTTCTTTTTGGTCAATGTTTTTTGAAAAGTTGGGGGAAACGTTCTTTCTTTTTTGAGTTTCATATAAAAAAAGGTTTTTTTTTGGGTTACAGGCAATGAATTTTTGACAATTTGAAATTTATATTAAGTGACTAAAAGTAGTGTAGGTTAAAAGTTTAAACCTGATAACTGTTTTTTAAGTTAACGGTAACGCAAATAAAAAATCACTTACTTTTTTGGAAACGGAGACCAAAGATCAGCATTGTCTTACTATTATGACTCTTATTTTTATTCTGTACACATTGAATTTATTGATTATTTATGGCGGCCTTTGTAAGAAACGCTACTTTTTTACATTCCTTACTCTTCCTATCACCACTTTTTTATCCACCCCATCCACGTTCTCTATAAAACCACCCTCTCGTCTTCAACCCCATGTTCATCTGTTAGGGGGAAAGGTCGTCGTCGTATAATGTTGTTACTCTATGCGTCCGCGCCGTGCCTCGCAATGCGTCTCATCGAAAACATATCTATCTATTTTTTCAACCCGAAAAAAAGCGAAAAATAAAAACTTTGGGGTAGTGGTGGGGGGATGGAAAAGAAGGTGTGCAGGACAAAGTGCTGCTGACCAAAACGAAAAAAGAAGGGAAGAGACTCGAGGGGTGAAACGTAGCTTTCCGAAGCCTCCGCTCTCATTTCTTTAACTTACAATATTTTTCTCGGTTTTCAATAAACATTTTTTGCTGTTGGTTTCCATAAAACCGACCGCATGGGATTCGCTGCATTTTTTTCGCATTTTTCGATTTTTTTAGATTTTTGATGAATATACTTTTAGTGCTAGTAATTCTGGATTAGTTCACCAATGGTTGTAAACATATTTTACACTTAGTTTTATAAATTTTAAATTAACATCAGGGACGGTTGGAAAATTTCGATCCGGAGAAAAGGGTCTTTTGTGAACTTTTCGTAAAACTTTTTATACACTAAAAGCTTATGCATTTAATGTGAAATCTACACGAAATTAATTTAATTATTACACAATTTACATTTATTTATGGCATGCAAAAGTGGATTTGTTTTTGCTAGTCATGTAAAACTACATTCTGGTTTGTACATTTACTAAATATGTTATTATAGTTAATGTGTTGATTCTCATTTTTGCTAAAATAACATCCCCCCCCCTTCCACATTTTCCTCATTCCCCAATCTAAATTTGCCCGCCCGGTCCAGGTTTTGTTTCTTTTTTTAAACCTCTATAAATTTCAAAAGGCCCAAATCCCCCAAACTTACGTTTTATCGCTAATTTACTTGTAAGCACTCGGCAGTGTTTACCGTGTCGCTACACTGAAATTTCAATAACATGGCTGCAGTGGTCATAGACGGACGGTTTGCACGTGATGACGGGACAAACAAACGCCGTTTACTGTTTTGTTCTCTAGAATGTTATTTGGGGGCTTTCATAGAAACAACTCTCAATTTTTTGTTTTCTTTTAAACAAGGGATCAGTTTTTTATAACTTCTTCATGATCATCACACTTCAAGAGTCTTCTTTAATTGTCCTTCCTCTTCTCGGCGTATCTAGAAGAAGAGTTTTGTTATATTCGTGTTGACTTTTGGGTTGAAATATTTTGTTCAGAGCGATTTTGTTTTATTTTGGGGCGATAAAATAATCTTTTTTTAATTTTAAAGTTTTTTTAAAATTGTCTTCCTTAATTTGTCACAGTTCCTACTTCGATCCCTAAATTTTTGTTCTTTCACGTCAGTAGTACATTATGAACATTTTGCGGTGTTGATGATTTGATTTTATTACCGTACACTAAAAACTAAATTTGTAAATTTTTCTATTCCAGCCGTTCCCCATTCCCGCTTTTTTAAAAGTGGGCACAGTCCGGCCGGTGAACGCAACGGCATGGCCACCACTGAATCGGGTGAACAGATTGCAAATCCCGGCTCCAGTGCGTTTAAGTGCGACGAACCTTCGTTGCCAGCTAGTCTCGACACCTTAGCTTACTCGTCCGCGCCGTTAATACAGGCGCCAACACATTGTGCGTTCAGGACGGGTCTAACACAGCAACCGGTTAGTCATATTCAAGTAAGTTTTACAACGTTTTTATATATTTTAAATTTTAGATTGGAATTAAATCATTGTAAATGTCAATTGTTAGGTTAACTTAGCTAAAAATGCTTTTTATACCTTTAAAAGAAAACTAATCGTATTTTGATTTTTGATTTTGAATAGGGTTTGTTCAAAATTATGTTTTGAGGACAGTTAATTTAAACTATTTTTTTGCTTAAAATATTCGTTAATAAAATATAAAATGCTTACAAAATGGCTTTTTTAATATGAGTATGCTACGTTACTCTACGCCTCAAAAATTCAAAAACAACTGTAACCGTCTTCCATTGTTAATTCCCAATTATACCACTCATGGCAAACCGTTTTTTCGAACAAACTTCGCGTTAATCACGAGGTTTTTACAAGTTTCGTTGACATTTTTTGGAATGTCCTTTGTTTTTGTAATTTTAATTTTTACACTCTTTTCCAGTACTGTTGTTTTACCTTGTAGTGAGTGGTTGTAAGTATTATTTTATTTGGAAACATGTTGTTGGTGGGTCTGTTAAGCCGATTTCGGCCATGTTGTTTTGTGTAGTTTTATGGAGGGACCGATATTATACCTTCCTTGTAATTTTATGTTCATGAGGGTGTACAGTTTTTTAAAATTAAATACAGTACTTGTTGCTTATTAATTCGAATTATTTTAGGCTTGTTTTAGTAGGTGGGTTTATAGGCTTGCATAGGTATTTATTGGCTTGCGATGATAAAATTAAACATTTTTCTTCATTAAAGCGCTAAATAATTAAAAGAAAAGTATTCTCATTTTTCAGTATTCCAACGGTTCTCATCAAATCCACTCCAAACCGGGTAACGAACAGCTTGTCCCGATGTTGACCCTTCCTTCCACGTCCAACGAAAACCTCAACATCTATCAGCCGCACGACTATCGGCCAAACCGCACCCCACCTACGCCCACACATCATCATCAAGTCAACATTCCTCAACCACATAATGCCAATCTCAACGCTCCCACTGGTAGTAACGAATCGTTGTCGAACAACTCGGTCTCGACCAGTTCATCAGCACACGACAAGTACCAGGTGCTTGAGAATGCAGAAAACACTCCAAAACGACCGACTGAGTTGTTAAAGCCAAATGGTACCACAACTTTGTCATTGCCGGGAAATTCGATGGCAACAACGCCAGTCACGCCGAAGCCGCCAAGGAAGAGGAAAGCGCCTTCAGGTGAAAGTAAATTGAAACAACCGAAAAGTGACAAGAAGGAGCGTGGTGATAGGGTAAGTTTCCGCTACATAGGTTTTTACTTTAGAACACGAGTCGGAAGAATATATTTTATTAGCAGTTCGAAATTATAAAAAATTAACCTGCGGTCTGCAAAGTTATGGTCGCAGCTCGCAGTTTTAGGAAAATATTCTTTTATAAAATTTTTCTTTGTTTTTTCTTACCATCATTATATTTTAGCATTTAATAGTAAGAAAAAATTTTTATGTCGTAATTATTTTATATTATGGGAAATTTGATTGGTTTTACCATATTTCTTCTTAAAATTCGTTTTTTCAGACCCCAAAACATACTAAAGAAAACAATGGAATGTCTACGTTGGACCCGCAAACTCCGACTTCGACGAACGGTCGAATTCCGTTTCGAAAACGGTCGTTATCTCAAGATTCCAAGGATCCCAGCTCAATGTCTGATTTGAGCGACTGCAAGGACTGCAAACTGGATTGCGGGTCGGAAGCTTCAACCATACCTACGTGCTCTTCCATATCCTCTGCTTCTGCATATCAAAATGATCTTCAAGTGAAACATCTGACGGACGAGATTCATCGCGTCAACAGTGAACTGCAAGCCGAAAAACGACGAACTACACAATATAAAGAAGTTATTCGACAACTACTGGTAGAAAAATCAAAAGCGGCGAGAAAGGATGCCAGAGAGAAGAACTTGGAGGATCAGCTAAGGATTGGTCAATTCAGACCAACAAGGATAGGAGAACATTTCAAGGACCAGTGGACGGACGGGTATGCTATGGAGGAGATCAACTTGAAGTTGGAGAAGTTGAACAAGGAGAAAAACGAGATACAAAATTTGTCCGGCAATCTGAGGAAACGAAAAGGAGCCAAGGAAAACAAACGGTATGTCTTTAATATTTATGTTGTTTGAAGCTTAGGTCTTTGGAGGGATCTTCTAAAGTTTAAGAGGTTTTAAAAGGGTTTTCATGACTTTTCATGCTAATTTTAGTTTTATTATTGCTTATATTTTAAAATTAATTAATTATTTTAGGACGATAACTGAGCCAGCAAGTCCGTCTTTACAATCGCAAAATTCGATCGAAACTACACGACAACTAGACGATGGTACATTTCTACGACCTGAAGTACCGAAGGAAATGACTTCTCAGGAGATCTATGAACAAGAAGAGATTCTGAAGCTACGGCGCGAGCATTTGAAGCGAGACGAAGCCGACATGTTGACAGAAAAAGATCGGTTAGAGCGGGAGAGGAATTTGCACATCAGAGAAATGAAGCGGATTCAGTGTGAGGAGAATTCCCGATTCAAGAATCACATTGTGCTGCACGAACGTTACTTGTTAATGTCATTATTAGGCAAAGGCGGTTTCAGCGAAGTGTGGCGAGCTTATGATCTGGATGAGAATCGCTACGTAGCCTGCAAAATACACCATGTCAACAAGGAATGGAAGGAAGACAAAAAAGCGAATTATGTAAAACATGCAATGAGGGAAAAAGACATTCATAAAAGTCTACATCATCCTAGAATTGTACAACTTTTTGATCTGTTTACTATTGATAATGACTCCTTCTGCACGGTGCTTGAATATTGTGATGGCAACGATCTGGATTTTTACCTAAAACAACATAAGCAGATTCCTGAAAAAGAAGCTCGAAGCATTATAATGCAAGTTGTGAGTGCATTAAAGTATCTGAATGAGAGGAAACACCCGATCATTCATTATGACTTGAAGCCGGCTAATATTTTGCTACAATCTGGAACAGCCGGGGGCGAAATAAAGATTACCGACTTTGGATTGTCAAAAACAATGGAGAACTCGGATGATGGAGAAAGCATCGAATTGACTTCGCAAGGCGCTGGAACTTATTGGTATGTTTTCATCTTTATTATATTTTTTTTAGGTATAAAAAGGAAAATTTATGTTTGGGAAATAAATTTTTACTGAAAGTAAAGTTAGTATCTATATTAATGTTAAAAATAAACAAGACTATACAAAATCTTAACGGTTGAATTAACTTTTTTGTTTTTAGGTACTTGCCACCAGAAACATTCCAATCATATTCTCATGGTTATACACCAAAAATCAATTCGAAAGTTGACGTATGGAGTGTTGGAGTAATCTTTTATCAATGTTTATATGGTCGACGGGTAAGGGTTTGTTAAAACTTTGGATATTATTAGGTTATTTATATATTTTTACTATTTTCCAACGCTAAATCATATAACATTTTATTAGTAACGAAATCATTTTTAGCCTTTTGGTCACGAGCGAACTCAACAGCAGATTCTTCAAGAAAAAACTATTCTGAATGCTTCTGAAGTTTCGTTCCCTACGAATCCACGTGTTAGTGTTACTGCACAGGACTTTATTCGGGCGTGTCTACAGTACCGAAAAGAGGAACGTGCTGATGTTGCTCAGCTCAGTCAACATGAACTGTTTCGACCAAAGACCGCTAGGAGCTCTAACATTTAAAATTTGACGAATTTTGATGTTTTTTCTCGTTGTGATGGATTTTGATGTTGTTTTCTTCACCATCTTGGATTCTGCATTCGTTTTCTTTTTTTTTGATGGATTTCCAAGTTACAATGGTCGGTAAATATAACACTGTAATCTTACATTCTCGTTTAAATCGGTTGTCTTTTATTTTTTATAAATTTTGATATTACCCATGGTAACAATTGTTGTCTTTCAATGTAAAAACGTGACTGAATACGTGTCGGGATTGTGTTTGCAGACATCTCAAAACAACATCAAGTTATACTCTTTAGTATTTATGACGGATTTTTTCAAATTTTTCATTATTATGACGTCATTTTTATTCCATGTCAATTTACATTTTTGGTCTACAATTTCAAATATCTGATGTTAAAAAAAGGGATTTTTACATTTGGTATTATTAGGTTCTACTATTGGAAAAGTGATGCTATTGGAACAGAATTCTAGGTTTTTTATATGTGTTACTTTAACTTGAAACATTTTAAATGAATCTGTACTAATAGTATCATTTCTCTTGATTACGAGTCTTACTGTATCCTATTAAGTAAAATACAGTAGCTTATTACATTACATTTCAAATGGGTATCCATGGACAAATACATGGTATTTATTATTTTTATATTGCTGTCGTCTCTTCCCTTCCCATACTATTTTTTAACCTTTTCGGTCTTTGCACAGACCTTTTGCCTGTTGGTCTGTTTGATATATATACATATAATATTATAAATATTCTGAATACGGGAGAAAATAAAGCCAAAAATTTGAATATCAGGATTTTGTAGCGAAAATTTAGTTTATTTTAAAATATCAGGAGCCGACATAAAGAACCCGCCATTTTTTACAGGAAACAAAGTATGGCGGATTCTTTATGTCGGCATCTAATACCGTATAATTTGTTACGCAAAAGCAAGTAGGACTCTAAAGTCATATCAATTTGACTTAAACATCGATAGACAAGAAGAAATTAAGAAGCGGGTGGTTTCTGCTTTAATATAGTCTTGTTTTATTTTTAATGACTGATAAAAAACAGGCTTCCTAAAGATTTGTTTATTTTGAGCTCTAAAAATAATCAAAAACGTTTCGCACTTTACGAATACACTAAAATTATTGGTTAGTTATTGCTGTGCTGGTTCGTAGAAATTTTTGGCTAGTTGATTTTTTAAGTTTTCTAACAGCCAAAACCAAAATCCAGACTAGCATTCTTCGTCTGAAGGTAAAAATTTTTAAAAATTTGCATAGGGAGTTGCTAGCAAACAATAATTCAAGTTGTCATTCCAACAAGCCTTCTTACGTTTTGTCTTAGCGTGCTTTACAAAAAAACGTGATTCAGAAGAACGTTACGTCAATATGTTTATTCCCAAACGTAGCGAGAATTTGTTTGAAAAAAAGGGCTTGATCTCGTCAGCTGAGTGCTTTTTTGTTCAGGTGAGCGGAAATTTAATAATGCCTTTTATTCAATATGGCAGCTCACTTTTATTTACTTTTGTTTCAAGCCTCCGGGGCTTTTGGTTGAATGAGTTTTGAAAAAATATTCATCTTGGATGGTTTTTTGAGTAGTTTGTTTTAGAATGATGAGAAATAAGGAAACCATTTTATATAATGACTTATTTATGCTAAAAATTTATATTTTTTCTAATTTTGTGAAAAATTTAGTTTACTACACAACTGACCCTATTTTCAACAAAGTTTCTATAAATGGTAACATTTCGCTTTAAATTTAGTCATCCATTGTACCGCGAACACATTGTGTATTGTGTACAAAACCTATTTATGCATTGTTCACGTTCGGTTTTTTTTTATCAGTCCGGAAGACGGAATTCTGGGTGTCTGGACGACGAAAGGTAAAACAAACAATCGTTTATTGTGGCCGCAGGGTATCGGTCAACTGTTCGGTATTGTCTTGCGGTCGTGGTCAAGAGACCGTTTCCGGTTCAGACCAACTGTTTGTTAGTGGGCAACAATAAATGATGGGATTGTTAAGTAGATGGGGTTGATAAAGACGTGAGATATTTTATTTAGGTTTAGTTGGTTGTTTGATGCTGGTGGTAGCACGTGCAGTAACGGGTGGGTGGATTTGTTGTGGGAGGGTACATTGATACATGAGTCGATTTTTAAAATGAAATACCAGGAACACTTCTGACTTTTTGAAAAAAAGTTGCAAGGGCGGGCAAGGCTTTTTTCGTTAATTTTTAACTTGTTAGCCAATATATAAGGGACGTGCTAAATACATCGGATGGTCTAATCGAAAATAAATCAGCCATTCCTTGGCTGAACACGTATCAGCCAAAGACTAGAATTTTTTGGCTGATTTTTTAGCCAAAAATCTAAATTTTCTGTCTGATATCAACAGCAAAAATTTTTGGCTGATATATCAACCAAAAATCATGATTCTTTGGCTGATATCTCAGACAAAAAATTTTGGCTGACATTTCAGCCAAAAAATGCGATTCCTTGTCTGATATTTCAAGATTCAGCCAAACAATGCAATTCTTTGGCTGATACCTGCTCAGCCAGGGAATCGCTAATTTATTTTCGACCAAACCATCCGATGTATTTAGCACGTCCTTTATATGAACATTTTTATGACTTAATAAGACGCATTTCAGCTTTTTTAAAAATAACTGTCCTTGTCTTGTTAATACAATACTGTGTTTTTGCGGGGTGAAAAAAACAATTGACACAGTAAAGTAGCAATCTAAAGACAATACATTGTATACAATAGAATGACAGGCGGTCGTTGATCATTTTAGTTACTCAGTGGGTTTTTATCATTGCAGTAATCCTGTGTTGTTATCAAATACAGCTAGTTTTTGTTTTCTTGGCGGGTCATTTTGGATTGGGGCGAGGCGAGGTAAAAAATTTTTTTTAAGTTAACAAATTTTTGCAAACTTTTGATGTCTTACATAACAGCGGGGTTGTCATACTCGCAGTAATTTGTTGGGACGTTTTACATCGAGGGAAATGTTGCATAGACTACAGATATTACACAAACAAAATTTCTTACAATTTACTTAAGGCTACGTTATATCGGTCATATTAGGTAACGCGGTACCAATTCTGTGGTAACTCAATTTCATTTCATTGTGATTCATTTCAAGAATTTACTCTTTATTTAAAGATATAAGTTATTTATTTTTAAAAAATATAAATTGATTTTTTGAGTTTTTTTATAAATACCAGCTGATATTATAAAAATCATTGACGTAGAGCCATTATGATTAAAAAAGTCTGCTTTAATTGAAATATTTGATCAGCTGTACGCCAGTTTTTGCTAATTTTTATATTTTGGTTGCAAACTTTTTCAATATCAAATCGTTTTTTTTTGAACTAATGGGTTTTAGTTTTTACGATTTTAGTATTATAGTTGAACATTGATTATAAACTTGTCGAATGATTAAATGTTAAGAGGTTCATTTTATTTCAACTTTAAATTGTTTTTGCATATATACTGTAAGTATATTATTATAATATATATTGTGATTATACTATACGTTACATTCGAACCTATGTAGTCTACAACAATCCTTCAACTTTTTTCCAAAATTTTCTTTCTTTTCAAACAAAAACACAGAAACTTTGGCCGAAATAAATCTTAAAAGTTTTTTCTGCACCGGAATCGAGAAAAAGAAAAATGTTTTCCAATTTACGTTTTGTGTATAATATTATACACTTTCTGAGTATTACAAAAAAAATAGGCATGACTTGTTATTTATGGCATTTTTGTTTTTTTAAAACTGTAGCAAAGGCAGGGCTCGTGGGGGGGGATACAACGGGGGTACCATCTTAGAAAACAATTTTTGAAAAAGTTGACCGTGGTTTCCCCTGTGGATTTTTTGGAAAAAAAAATTTCTTAAAAATCGGGACTGGTAACTATTGTGCATATGCCGATTTCTTCGACCCCTCAGACCAAAAGTGCCCCTCCCCCCCGGCGCTGACTGTAACCATTGCTTCTACATAAGTGCATCTAAAATTATTTGCTTCTTTGGTTATTTTCAAAGTCGGGCTGCCGATTTTCTGGGTAATGTTTTATCTCCTCCACACCCTGCTCTGAACTTTACCTATTCTTGATATTACTTTTGATATAAAGCGATTTCGTATTATTTGTTCAAGACGTAAGTTGTGATCTTTTATTATATTTTGTCTTCTGACTTCTTCTTGTCTGTTTATTTGAATAGTTCTTCAGGGAATCACGTCTATTTATTTTTTTTTGTTTATACTTTGGTGCTGACTGTGGGTTTCATGGTAACTTGTTATTATCTAAAGATATGACAAGTTTGAATTTGATTTTTTAATGTAGTAGATTTAAATTGGGTAATATTGATTTGTTCTTAATTTTTTAAGATAATTAAAAACATTATTGAAATAATGCTTAAAGATATAATGATTTGTTTTGTTGTTTCTGTTGGTTTGATTACAACATAATTGTTTATAATGTATGCAAAGTGGTCATCTACCGCAGACAATCAACGTGGTTTGTGGAATAATTTATTTCTTTAGTAACCTAATTTTTTTGTTTTTGGGTAAAATTTATAGGACCTTACAGTCGTTTTACAAAAAATCTATTTTTTGTTGTTTGCAGGATGTGGACTTGTAATTTATTCTGAATAGATAAAAACAGGATAAAGAAGTTAATTTCCGGATTACGAAGATAAATAGTTAAGCTTTTGCAAAAGTTTTTTTGTGTTCTGAGAACGTAAAATTATATTTTATCGGAAGTTTTGTAAATTATGACAGTGTGCGTTTTTCTAACACTACTTATCTAGGGTGAAAACATGTTTCAAAAGTTTTTTTTAAATATATTTTTAAAAAATGTTCATTTTGTCACTCTTGGCACTATATTGAAAAACTGTTCTTTAAATTTTGAAATGGCGCAATAGTACGTTTATGAGTTAACCAAAACTAGTTTTAGCGTCTACAAAACCACCTCTTTTAAGTAAAATCAGTTACATTAAGCGAAACAAAAAGAAACATGAGGT